TCCTGAGTTCAATCTCCAGTACCAATAAAGAAAAAAAAAGAAACTCTCTGGAATCATTCTGAGTGCTGGGATAACAGGTATATGCCACCAATCTGGCCAACAATTTTAATTACATATTTTATGTAGCCCAATGTTACAGACAAAATAATATGACAGTATGTTATCAATATTTTAAAATTATCAATGAGTTATTTACTATTCATTTTCTTACACAAAATCTTTGCCTCAGGTGTGTGTTCTCCATTTACAGCACATTTTAACTCAGACCATCTGCATTTCCAGGGCTAAGCATCCAGACAGAGATGATTATGGCTGGGCTCATCAGTTCAGGTCTGAGACAATCTGCAGGGGCTGGAAGACAGATGCTGCAGCCCGAAGGAGGCTCACCCAACCCCACCAAGACATCTAGAGAGCACTTGCAGGGACGCAGCTTTCTGGATTCTCAGCCTGGCGACTCCCGCATTTAGTAGATTAAGGCAGAGGTGCTCTCAGAAGTCTGGAAGGAGAAAGAATCACACGTCAAACCTACAATTTCTTTTGCATTTCTTGTCCCCATTACACCAAGGAGATCATCTTGGTTCATTTCTCCATCTTTGGTGCCCTCAGAGGACTGTCATCTAACAAAGGTGCTTGTTAATTATTGATCTAACAAGATGCTAAAATGGATGCTTCACCTAACAAATTATAAGAGATTGCTCTTTGATAGGTTAAAAATGGCTGGCTATTGGCCCTGTCTGATGGTTGCACCTGGTAGACTAGCAGCTGCCTTAGGTGCCCTGCTAGATGCACAATTGAGGAAGTAACTAAGATATGTTGTTGTGACTCTTGTGAATTCTGTCTTCCAATTGCAGGGTGCTAACAGAACAGAATTAGAAATTAGAGGAAAATAGAAATATGAATGATACATCTCAGGACAGAATAGAACAGTGTCACCCTCTGTCATCTAGAGGGGGAGATGGGTGGGAGCCTCTGAGTTTGACCTCAACTAAGAAAAAGGAGGTTCAGTAAATCATTTGATCATTGTCAAATGATCCATCATCCCCATGGCTGAGGATCACAGGTGTCTTGAGTCAAAGGTTCACCATGTCCATCCGTAGGTATAATCTGTGGGATAAATGTCTGTGTGGTTCCTGGAAAGCACTGTCCAAGAGAAAGCCTGCTAGGGTGGAAGGATCCAAAGAGCCTGTCATATTGTCAAAGGGTCAAAGGGCAGGTCAAAGGATGTTAAGAGGGGAATCTCTGAAGAATCCACAAAAGACTCAGCTTTCAGTACTTACACCACCTGCAGAGGGCACAGACTTTTGCAACAATACGAGTCAACAGACTCATGCTTTATCCTATCAGTTGTGCTCCTGGAAACCCACAGCACCCCACCCTGTGCTTGGGCCCAGCTGGTAAAGAAGACAGAAGCCTTACCTATGAATAATAATGGAAAACATGACTAATGCATTAGACAGGATATTTAAAATAATTGAATGGAAATGTTCCCATTCTTAGAGGTTCAAAGCTTCTAATTTTTTTGTTTGCTTATTTTGTTTTGTTTTGCAGTATGGGAGATTGAACTTAGGGCACGGCACATGCTAGGTCAATTCTCTACCACTGAGCTATACCCCCGGCCCTGTAAGATTTTATTACCTAAAAATGATCAGAAAAGTTAGGAGCCCTGCCCTGTATTTTTCTTTCTTTCTTTTTTTTTTTTTTCGGAACCGGGGATTGAACTCAGG